TCCTCACTGTCTTTTTAGCTTAGTTGGTTAGAGCATGGTGCTGATGACACCAAGGTCCAGGGTTTGACCCCTGTGTTTGACCAGCCAGCCACCAAACAAAAATAAAGTTAATATTTATTATATTATCTAAAAAAATCTCTGTGCCTGTCCCTAGGTCCTACCCCACAGAAACACTGAGTCCATGGGTGTGGGGTGGGCCCAGGAATGTGTGTTTTCCCAAAGTTGTGCTGGGGGCTGTAATAGGCAGCCTACTTTGAGGACCACTGATCCAGCCCATCCTTGACATTTCACAGACAAGGAATGAGGCCCAGAGTAGATAGATAACTTCATTCAGTGGGCATGTGGCAGAAGCAGGCCTGGGGTGGTCTCAGCAGTCCACTGTGGCTTTGGTGCCACTGTGAGCAGTGAATGCAGGAGGCTGCTGCTGTGATCAGGGGCTAAGCTGGGCACTATAGCCCATTTCTGCCTCTGTCCTCAGACCTCTTCTCCATTCTCCCCAGCAGCAAACGTGCAAACCTGCCATCAGGCAGTTACCCTGCTGCACGAGTGTCCCCTCCAAGCCTTTTCCCATTGGGAAAAGACTCTGAGCCTTGCAGAAAGAATTGATGGCCTCCCAGTAAGTGAAGTAGAATTCACACATGCAGAGTAGGCGAGCTCTCCGGCCCTGTGATCCCAGCCGATCTGGATCTCTGCATCCCAGTTGTAGTTGGAAGGGCGAGTCTAGGACTGGAGAGGGAAGTGGATGGTTCCTGCTGTCCAGAAAGCTGCTCGCAGGCCAGTCTCTCACAGTGGGCCCCTTCGAGGCTCCTCTGGACCCAGATGCACATCTTCTTGCCAGTTTCAGGAAGTTTCTCCTTTTTCTGTCTTTCAAAGGCTTTTCCTCTGCCAGTCTGCTCCTGCCATTGTGGTGCCTCCAAACCCATCTCTCTTTCCTAAGCCCAGACAAAACTGACACTTTCCACATTTAAGCGCTTTTATTAGGCCAACATAAATTTTAACTGATATTTTACAGTATGTACTACTTTGTTCTCCAGATATTGAGAAGTATCATTTCTGCAGCTGTGCTTTATCTCTAGAGTTATGTTTTAACCATGAAACATTTTCAGCAAAACACTTCATATAGAATTAGTCTAATATGATTTTAAGGAATAAAAGCATTCTGTGTTTAGGTTTTATGCCATGTTAGTACAAACTAATAGGTTTTACTGTTAGTATTAGTACTGTTGGTTTTATGATTAGTATCAGGACTGGAGAAGCTATGTATTTTGCTGAATCCCACTTTCTGGTCCCTGGCAAAAACAAAAGGGGGTCTTTAATCACTCCAAAGACAGTCTGTGTTTTATTGTTTTCCCAAGGAAAAACAGCATTCATAAATGTTTCTTCCATGCAATTTATATTTGTAAACGGGTCTTAGAGAACTGTGACACAAGATAAACTCAACCGGTTTGCAGAATTTTTTCTTTTTCCTGTGAGCTGTCATAGAAATCTCATGGTCCAAAGGCTCTCGGGGAATTGGGCAGAATTTGTAGAGAATTTGTGCTAAGCTAGAATTAAGAAAATGGGCAAAATTTTTAATCTTATGTTTTGGGTTTTATAGCTGTGTTCTTGCTGGCAATCTTGGGTGAGCAGCTGGAGTGCTTTCGGATGTATGATTTTAATAATAATGAGAGATAGCCAAATGCTTCAGATTGGATGTAGAGAGGAGCAAATATCGGAAGGAATTTCCATAGAAGCTGAAGCTGAAAATAACATTTAGAGAAAATCATTTGATTCACCTCCTCTCTCCTCGTTAGAACTTAAATTTCTCAGGTTTGGTCTTCTGTTGAGGGTTTCTCTTCATTTTAACATACTAGAAACACCTTTTTTTCTTCCTATACCAAAATTATTCCTATGATATTTTGTTTTCTGAAGTTCATTCTCTAATGGAATCCTCACGGTGTTCACGGACACAAGATAGCCTAAGTTCTCGCAAGTTCATAACTCATTGTAGCCTTTTTAAAGAATACATTTAGGTCTCTTGGCTGGATGTAAAATCCTTGGCTCCTTTTTTTCTTTCATGCAAATCTTAAAAATGTTGCCTCACTATCTTCTGGCAGGAAGTGCTACTGTCAGTATCTGATGTCAATCTAATTTTCTTTTTCTTATAAAATAGGGTGACTTTAGAGAGAGAATGGGGACACTATTAATAAATATACCAGGACTGTCCTGGGCAAATTGGGATGTGTAGTCATCGTACTTATAAGTGAATTGTTCTTTGTGCTTGACTACTCAAAGGAATTTTTGCTTTGTCTTTAGTTGTTTTACTAAGCACTATGTACATAATAAACCTTTTAATCCAAGATAGTTTTTTTTAAATTATAGTTTTTAAGATTTGTTCTGTTCCATTGCTTTGATCTTGTCTACAGTCATTTTTACATACATTGGAACTTCTTTGTCTATATTCTCTATGTATTATGTTCTCTCAAATTCTTTTTGTTGTTTTTGTTTCTGTTTGATTTAAAAGAATTTTTTCTCCTGTCTGTCTTCTGTTTCTATTGCTGTGCTTTCCATGGTGTGTGATTGTTCTTATGTTTCTTCTAGTTTAGTCTTTATTTCTAAAATTTTCTTTTTCCTAATTCTTTCCTAAATTCTGTCCATTCTTTATAATCTTCCTGTTGTTTAGCCAAATTATTTTTCTATTTCTGATTTATGCTGCTCTTTCACCATTTCTAAAGATTTCTTAGTTTCTTTTAGCTGAATTTGTAATATCAGATTGTTACCAGTGCATTTTTGTGGTGTGCCCTTGTCTGCTTGTGTGTTATTGAGTTACTCATTTTTATATTTTTCTTACAATATGATTCATCTGGGGTTCTGTTACTTTTGTGTAAATAGATGGCCTTTGCTCTACCTTTAGGACAAGCCTCTGAAGGGGATGGGAGTGGATAGGTGGGTCTTGTTTCACCTGCTTGAGAGTTCCCTTCTCGTGTATACAGTTACCTTGATGTGACAGAAGCCTGGCCTCTATGTGCAGCCACCTCCAGTCTAAGAGCTGCCACCTCTGGACATGACTTCTCTTGTTTCTGAACCTTCTTTCTCTTCTCATCCACATTTTCCTACCCTGTTCAGTTTGGATCCTACCCACGAGCAGCTTTTCCTCTGAGTGCATCTCTGTCATTCTGGAAGGGACTTTGGGAAGGTATTTCTGAGATCCTTGAGGGCCTGCCCAGCCCAGACTGACTTCTCTGCAGACCCTAAGTGGATTCCCACGGTCTTTTTTTGTTCTCACCCACAAATTGGATCCTGTGGTGCCCCTCTGTGTTTCAGCATTCTCCTTGTTGGGGACTCAGTGCACAGTGGGGTCCTCTATTATGAGGGGTAGCCACTTCTTGGAGATTTCTTTGTCTGGAGCTTTTAGAACAGGAAACTCTCCTTTCTCTTCCCTTGGCTACCTCCGCCCAGCAGCTAATCCCACACAGTCCCACAGCTCCTGCTAGTGTGGCTCTCTGACGGCATGCTCTCATAGTCTGAGCTTCATGGGACACCATGTTGTAACCTAACTTTGTTGACGATATGGGCAGTAGGTTTGTTCTTTTGCAATCCTAGTTGCCCTCTTTTTCTGCAGCAATTTGGAGTGATATAAAAAACCTACACCATTGTGATTTTTCTCAGACCACTCACCACCCTCACCTGCTGACATTCTTTTTTGGGGGGTGGGGGTATTCGTTTTCTTTTGTTTGTTTTTGGGTTTTTTTGTTTTTTTTATTTTAATTTTTTTTTCCTTTTTGTGACCAGCCGCACCGCACTCAGCCAGTGAGCGCATCGAACCAGCCATCCCTATATAGGATCTGAACCCGCGGCAGGAGCGCTACCGTGCTCCCAGCGCCGCACTCTCCCGAGTGCATCACAGGCTCGGCCCTGTTTTTGTTTTTTATAATTCAATTTTATTTATATTTATTTTGTGGGGTACAGTGTGTTAATGCAATACATGCATATCCGGATGTATTCAATAATTCACTTAGGGTAGATAGCACAGTTTTGTTCCCCTTAGTTCACCCCTAGTCTTCCCCCACACCCCGCCCCCCAGCCTCTGGTAACCATTACTCTACTCTCTACTTTAAAAAAAAATACACAAAAATTAACATCCTTATTGCAAAAAGAACTCTAAAAAATGAATTAGAAAAATCCAAGCAGAAATTTGGTTAAAGACATGAGCACACCCCAAAAGAAACACACCTGGTTAATAAGTACATTCTAGGATCTGGTTTGGGGTGGGGGCAGGGTAGGCCTACCCCGGTCTCAGGACCCCTGGGTGTCAGGGCTGGCCCTATTGCTGGCCTGGATGTATGGCGGCAGGGGCGGGGCTCAGGCCTACAGCCCCCCGACTCTGAGGACTCCAGGGTGGGCCGCTTACATTCTTAATCACCCCCTGTATTAAAGTGATACTTCAGCTAATCATTTGTGCCCACCCTGCCTTTTCTTTTTTTTAATCAGTTCACTTGGTTTGGCAGTAAGTTGGCTCCGATCCTTCCCACCTCTGCTGTCCTTGCTGCTGGCCATCTCTTGGGCTCCCTCTGGGGGTGAGATCTTCATATATTTTTTGGTCATTCATTTGGTCAACAAATATTTACTCAGTGCCCTCTAGGTGGCTGGTGCTGTGCCAGACCTCAGTCCCCAGCTGGGTCTTTGTGTTCTCTGTCTCTTGGTGGCAGAGACATGACTGTTGAAACTGCCCCAGAAAGCAAACAAGTCTTCTGATCTGGGCAGACACAGCCAGGGGGTTCGGTGGGCAGCAGCCTCAGTGACCAGGATACCTGGAAACAAGCAGAAATGAGCGCTGCAACCAAGGTAAGCTTATCTGTGGTGCCTGTCCTTTGTGCACACACATTCTGTGACTCCTCACTTGGGGACCCCAGTTCTAAATGGCCAATGCTCTGCCACAAACTTTCTACGTGACCTTGAGCAAATCATTCCTGTCTTCTGATCCTCAGTTTTCTCTTCAGTAAAATGAAGGGATTGGACTAGAGCAGGGGTTGGCAAACTTTTTCTGTAAAGGACCAGGTGGTAAAATATTTTAGACTTTGTGGGTCAGAGTCTTTCGCAGCTATTCAGCTCTGCCCTAGTAGCTCAGGAGTAGCTGTAGACACCAGGCAACAGATGGGAGTGGCTGTGTTCCAATAAAAGTTTATTGATGGAAAAAGAGGCAGGCCCGTGGGTGAGAGTTTGCCAACCCCTGAACTAGACCCTGGGCTCTGAACGTTCCTTAGTGCTCTGACATTTTGTTCATTCGGGATGCCGTAAGGAACTTTGTTCAAGGCCTCCATCTTCTCAAGGGTCTTTTCAACCTTGTGCTTAGCCGAGCCCTCCCAGGGGCTCCTCAGGTGCTGAACATGGGCTGAGTCCACTTGGGGGCTATGTGGACCCCTCCCCTCACCCCACCCCTCATACCTCTCCCCTCCCAGAGCCAGGCACTGGGAATAATCTTGTGGGGAATTGAGGGCACAGTAGGAGTGAAGTAGGGGCTAAGTATGTATAAACTCAGCAGGGCATCTTTGGGGAAAACCAGCCAACTGGAATAAAAGTGGGTAGTGGCTTTGGCATTGAGCCTTCAAGTGTTAGGATTGTCCTGCTTAATGGAGGTACATGAGAATGGGAGGGCCAGAGGCTAGCAAGGAGGAAAGACATGCACTGGGACGTTCCCCTTCTGTTTTCACAGGTTCCTACCTAGTATAGGTTGAGCATCCCTAGTCTGAAAATCCGAAATCTGGGATTCTCCAAAATCTAAAACTTTTTGAGCACTGACGTGACGCTCCAAGGAAATGCTCTTTGGAACATTTCAGACTTTTTTTTAGGTTTCCAGATTAGGGATGCTAAACTGGTTACATTTCTACAAGTATTCCAAAATCTGAAAAAATCCAAAATCTGTAATACTTCTGATCCCAAACGTTTAGGATAAGGGATACTCAACCTGTAACAGCAGCACAAGAATATCCCTGAACGTTTTGGTTTTGTGATTGTTTTTCAGCTCTTCTGGTACAAGGCAGAGGGGCGTATGGTAGTTGTCCCCTTTTGAAGGACACGAAAGCCTTCAAATGCAGAATGCTAAGAAACCCAGTAGGGCTGATCCAAGGAAGTATCAAGAGCCTTCACTGGGCAGGGATGTTGTTATTAGGACCAGTCGGACGGCCTCTCAGGTGACCTCTTCTGGCCACTGCACGTGGAATGTCAAATGCAAGACTCAACAGGGTATTGAGTTTGTCATCAGCAGATCTTCTGTTGAACAAATCAATATGACAATTCTAAGAAAAATGAGTATCTGTGCAAAAAGAAAGTCAGGTTACACATAGCTAAAAAGAAGGGAGAAGAAACATGAGGAGAAAATGGGGACAGATAGGGAAACAGCAAGTGAAGGAACCTGTTACGCTGAATTTTTAAGACAAGGAATCAGAAAACAGGATTATTCCTTGTAAAACAATGCTGGGAAGAATGGGAAGTGTGGAGAATGGTGGAATCCGGATCCAGAGGTAGGGTTTGAAGATAAACCCATCCAATAAAGCCCAGTATAATGGGAGTGGCTCCCATGGGTGGTCTGTGCAGCGCCTTCCAGCTCCATTGCTGGTGTCACACACACATTGGGCACCCGGTGGAAACTGAAAGAAGAAACTTTAACAAGGTCGGCCCAGTATAATGGGAGTGGCTCCCATGGGTGGTCTGTGCAGCGCCTTCCAGCTCCATAGCTGGTGTCACACACACATTGGGCACCCGGTGGAAACTGAAAGAAGAAACTTTAACAAGGTCCAAACCATGAGACAGCAGGTGGCAAATGTACCCAAAGGCTGCCTAAACACCTGGCTCCAGGATGGCAACCTGGATCCCATTTCTTTAGAAAATTAAAGGGGGGAAAATCCTTTTCTGGTGTTTGGGAGTGTGTCTATAAACACCAAGTTGGGAGTTGTATGTTGGGGAATAAACAAGTGACGTGCCCCAAGGGGTGATGAGTATGTCAGGTTTCTGGGGGGAGAAGGGGGTCTGGGCTTCAGGATCCCTCTTGGCAAATGCGGCAGTGAACCAGGTGACCTTTGATGGCCCTTTTAACTCTCATATTCTGCAGTTTTACAAATCATTACTTGCCATTTACCTGCTGGCAGTGTGAGAAGCTGGACTAGATGACTACGCGGTAATGACCGTGTGTTGCGGCGCCTCTTCTTTGTCTTTGCAGTGCTGTTGGGGATTTCCAGGTGGACGACAAGACTAAAGCCTTACTCAAGTACACAGGGGAAGTGACTTGGATCCCTCCAGCCATCTTTAAGAGCTCGTGCAAAATCGATGTGACCTACTTCCCGTTTGATTACCAAAACTGCACCATGAAGTTTGGTTCCTGGTCCTACGACAAAGCGAAAATCGACCTGGTCCTGATCGGCTCCTCCATGAACCTCAAGGACTACTGGGAGAGTGGCGAGTGGGCCATCATCAAAGCCCCCGGCTACAAGCATGACATCAAGTACAACTGCTGTGAGGAGATCTACCCGGACATCACGTACTCACTGTACATCCGGCGCCTGCCCTTGTTCTACACCATCAACCTCATCATCCCCTGCCTGCTCATCTCCTTCCTCACCGTGCTCGTCTTCTACCTGCCCTCCGACTGCGGCGAGAAGGTGACCCTCTGCATCTCCGTCCTCCTCTCTTTGACCGTGTTTCTCCTGGTGATCACCGAGACCATCCCATCCACGTCGCTCGTCATCCCCCTGATTGGCGAGTACCTCCTTTTCACCATGATCTTCGTGACCTTGTCCATCGTCATCACCGTCTTCGTGCTCAACGTGCACTACAGAACCCCGACCACCCACACGATGCCCACGTGGGTAAAGACCATATTCCTGAACTTGCTCCCTCGGGTCATGTTCATGACCAGGCCGGCAAGCAACGAGGGAAACCCTCAGAAGCCAAGGCCCTCCTACGGTGCTGAGCTCTCAAGTCTGAATTGCTTCAGCCGCGTAGAGTCCAAAGGCTGCAAGGAAGGCTACCCCTGCCAGGATGGGATGTGCGGTTATTGCCACCACCGCAGGATAAAAATCTCAAATTTCAGTGCCAACCTCACGAGAAGCTCCAGTTCTGAATCCGTTGATGCTGTGCTGTCTCTCTCTGCTTTGTCACCAGAAGTCAAAGAAGCGATCCAAAGTGTCAAGTATATTGCTGAAAATATGAAAGCACAAAATGAAGCCAAAGAGGTAAGGATATGCTTGTTATCACGTTGGTCACTCATTCAGCAAACATTTATAGTTTCCTTGTGGGACTAGCACAGAGTCAGGGGTGAGAAATTAGACTCTGGAGTCGGCCGCGTGTGTTCAGACCAGTTGTACGTCTTTGGATATGTTACCTCACCTCTCTGGGTCTGTTTGCTCATCTGTAAAATGGGATAATAAAGCTTGTGAGCGTACGGTGGCCTGAAGTTAGCCACTGGGCTGCCAGTGGTCTAGGCTATTAAAGCACATGATGCCAAGAGAGTGGATTAAGGGATAAGCTGGAAAAAGGCATGAGGCCAGATTGTCTCCAAGTTAGCCTTGATCAGCTGAGGTTACATTTTTATTTTTACTTCATAATTGTGTGTATGTGTGTGTCTTCTCATTGAGGTATAACTTACATGGAGTAAAGTGCACACCTAAGTGTACAGCTTGATGAATTTTTACACTATGTATACACCCATGTAATAATGATACAGACAAAGATACAGAATATTTCCAGTGCCTCGGAAAGTTCCCCAGTGCTCCTTCCCAGTCATGGTCTCTCTTCCCCCTCAGTAACCACTGTCCTGAGTTCCTTTACATCAATTAGTTTTACCCATTCTTGAACTTCATATAAATGGAATTGCATAGTATAAACTTTGTTTCATGTCTCATTCTTTCATTGAACATAATGTCTTTGAGGTTTATCCTTGTTTCTGTTTCTTCATTATTGGTGTGTAGTATTTCACAACATGACTCTACTGCCTTCTGTTTATTTCACAATTGTTGGACATTTGGTTATTTCCAGTTTGGGACTGGCATGAATAAAACTGCTATAAACATTCTTGTTCATGTCTTTCGGTGAATGTATATGTTCATTTCTGTTGGATCTTTATGTAGGAGTGGAATTGCTAGATCATTGGACCCTGGACCTTGATGTTATCAGCACCATGCTCTAACCATCTGAGCTAACCCGCCACTTTGTGAAGTGGTATCTCACTGCTGTTTTAATTAGCATTTCCCTGTTGAGTAGTTATTAGGCCTCTTTTTCATATGCTTATTGGCCATTTGGATATCTTCCTTTGTGGAATATCTCTTCACATTCTTTTGCTCTTTTTTTTTTTTAAATTGAGTGAACTTAGTTCTATTTTCTTTGAAAATCTTATGCTAGAACTAATGTCAAGTACTAAGAGTAGGAGACTTTTATACTAAATAATGTTATGTGTCTGGTATGACCCTCTTTATACCCTCAAGGTTACCAGGATCACACTCAGTAATTTTATAAGCTCTGCTTTAAAATTAAACAGCTCTGCCTTAAGTTGATTAGTGGCTAAGAGCTAATTACCAGATAATTTCAGCTCCTGATGCACTGTAGGTAATTAACGTTGCTGAAGAATGTCTGGAGTCTCTTTTATTCAGCAGTGAATGGCATACCAAAGTAGATGAGACAGGAGGGAGACAGCCACAGCTGCCCTCTTCCCCTCACCCCACCCATCTGAGCAATCTGAGCACATCTTGGGACTGTAACAATGCAAAACCTCCAGCTGATCCCAGTAAGTTAGCCAAAAAGTCAAGCACTCCTTTAAATTCAGTTGAAGCAATTGTTAGACACTAAGTAAATGATCAGTGAAAATCTCTTAATTACCTAACACTGATAACGTTTGCAGACTCCTCTACTTCTTTACCCGCTTTTAAAGTAATCATTGCTTTTTTGTGTCTTTTTTCGTGTCTGGCACTGGACCGGGACCGGCAACGGGATCGCAACCCTCGGTGCTGCGCCCGCACCTCGCTCAGCCAGTGAGCGGGAACCGGTCTGTATGTGGGATCCGAACCCTCGGCGGGAGCGCCGCCACACTCCCAAGCGGCGCACTGTAGCAGTGCGCCACCGGGCCAGCCCATAAAGTAATCATTGCTTTTAAGTTAGCATTAACTAGTAAAAGTCAGGATCCCGTATTCTAGCCTTTGTCAGGCTATTAGAAATTGCCTTTATTCCAAAAATCATTTGCTAGACACCGTACAAGGTGTTAGAGTAAAAATTATTTACTAGACACCATACAAGGTGTCTAAGACATGGAGACAGACCTGTAAAAAAGAATTATTGAAAGGGAGGTCAGAAACAAGTATAAGATGGGTAAATTAGTGAAATGGTCTGACCATAGCAGTAGGGAGTAAGGTCTTTGGCAAACTAGTGGCACAGGATCGATCTTGAGGCAGTCACTGTTCACTTCTGGTCATGTGTTACCAGGTGGGAACGTGGGCCCATTATTGCCAGAGTTTTAATCTGAGTGTTGTTCCTTTGTGAGTAATCGATTCTGTTTAGAAATGATTTGAAATTTCTATTTGTAGAGAAATCTAGTGACATCATGCACGAGTGTCTAGGTGTGGTCTCTCCCAACCTGTTTGGCATTCTGATGAACCATTTCGTTCTGAGGTTCCCATCTTTCCTTAATTCTGGGAGATTCAAGCTTATGACTTCTATAAAGATTCCTTCCCTGAGCGCCTGTTGTACAGACCTGCCCATGTCTGTGCACAGCCCCCCCCCTCAGCTTCTCCTGTACACCCCACCCTTCCTTCCTTCCCGCCGCCCCCTGGGAGAGCTCCTCAGTCTCACCTCCCATCTCACTGCTTCTTTCCTGGGCTGTATCTACCCTGCCAGTTATCCCATCTCTTGAGTTCTTTAACTCAACATTTCAATATTTTATATCTGCTATTTCCACTCGGTTCTTCCATAAAACTGCTTGTTTCCACCTCACGTTTCCAGTAGTGTCTAATCTGAGGATATCATGTTTATTTTAAATGCTTGACCTGTCTGCTCCATGAGTCTTCTTTCATAGCTAAGTTGGTGTATTCTGGGCCTGTAAACTCACTTTTTCCTGGGGATGTCAGCCAAAACCCAGGCTCCACAAGGCTCAGGGGCCACATAGCCAGACTGAGCTAGATCACCCTTGAAAGGTGCTGCCTCCCCTCCAGGTGACCTTGTCTCTCAAGGGACATCTTTCTACCTCCCACCTGGCTCCAATCCCCTCCAAGTCCCTTCTGCTGGACTGAAATTGTTTAGCCCTTGACGTGGGAAGGGGACGAGGGAAGCCTCGGGCTGCACCGGTCAGTGGGCACCTTCTGTCCTTTCCTCTTCCCTTCAGCCGGGCTCTTCTTGGCTCACAAACTGCCCCCAAACCTGCATCTCTGGCTGTGAGTGGGCAGAGGCTGAAGAGGCAAAGTGGTGGGGGAGACAAGAGCACCACCCCAAGCCTTCCTCGGCCGTCCCTGCCACCGAGACCCCCCTTGACCAGAACTGCCATCCCCTACCCCATGTACACACTGTCAGGCCACCAGGTTTCCAAGAGTCTTTAAAGCACAGTCACACACTCCTCTCGCTCCTGGCCATCTCCAGGGTTTGGCTGGGCAAGGAAAGCCAGGCTTGGACTAGATCATCATTTTGCCTCCCTGTGACTCATCATTAGTTCCAAAGTTTCCGGAGAATAGCCAAGATCATTGTGCTTTAAAGACTTTGAGTTAGATATAAAATTCATATCCACCGAGCTCTTTTTGCAGCACTATTTGCATTCATGTGTAAGACCCAAGTCCCATCTTTCTTCAGTACACTAAACCATGTGATTTGTTGTTAGACGGAGATTTATATGTCATTTTTTAAAAATCTGTATTAATATCAATAGGTAGTATTCATTAAGGACTCTACTGAAACAACCTCTGAGGTAGATACTGTTCTTATTTTACAGATTCTCCATTACTGTTCTCCATTTTACAGATGAGGAAACTGAGGCTAGGGGCAGTCATGTAATGTACCCAGGTTCTCATAACTAAAAAGGAGCAGAGCTGGGATTATAATCAAAGCTTGTCTCCAAGTCT